TGAATTGAATTGAATTGAATAGAAATGTAGTCGGATAATAACAAACAGAGAGAAGGTAGTCAGAACTGAGGGGATCAAACTACCAGAAGGCAACATTGCATCCTGTGGGACTTCCAGATACAGACGGACAAAATGGTGGTGGCTAACCAACCGGACATAGTGGTGGTAGACAAACAGAAGAAGACGGCCGTAGTGATCGATGTAGCGGTTCCAAATGACAGCAACATCAGGAAGAAGGAACACGAGAAGCTGGAGAAATACCAAGGGCTCAGAGCAAAGCTCAAGAACATGTGGAGGGTGAAGTTAACAGTGGTCCCAGTGGTAATCGGAGCACTTGGTGCAGTGACACCCAAGCTGGGCGAGTGGCTCCAGCAGATCCAACATTGGAGATCTCTGTCCACAAGAGCAATCCTAGGAACAGCTAAGATACTACACAGGACTTAAGCTCCCAGGCCTCTGTTAGAGGACCTGAACTTGGAGGACAGACCGCCTGCAGGGGAGAGCAGGGAATTATATAATATACAAGCAGAGTCATTTGTGCTGGGCCCTTTAATTACTGAATGAATGTTTGATACCTGTGCTTCTATTCATTACACACATTTTAACAATAATAACTTAATCGCCATAATTCCAAGTGTAAAAAATGAATATTGTATATTATTTATGTTTTTATTTAATTATTATATAAACAATGCACAAATATCTTATTTGAATGATTGCTGTCATATAGATGAGAGAAAGTGAGGATAAAACACAGAATGAGCTCCACTGACTCATCTGAGCAGAGAGAGGCAGGCCAATACTGTGCTGTAAACTTATAGTGTAGTTTTCAGCTCTGACGCGGTCTGCTTTCTAGTTTTCTTTCCTCGTGTTCAACAGTTAAAACCGTTACATAATTCACCACCACAAAGAATATAAATTGATTTATTGTGAATAAGATGACCAAAACAGAATTAGAATTTTACACAAAAGCATTGAATGTTTACGTGTTTCACAAAGCCCTGCTTTGCCCATTACTGATAGAATAGAATAGAATAGAATAGAATAAACCTTTATTATCCCACGAATGAGAAATGTGGGTGTTACACAGCTCTTGTAGCAAGTGGAATATAAAATGTAGAAGGAAGAAACAAGGTGGTCCTATTTACATAAGCAACTGAAATTCATATATGCATATAACAATGTACAGAAATATGTATAAAAATAGTACAGAGTTGTGCACATAAGTGTGTGTGGGGGGTGGAGTGAATGATTCTGGTGAAATGTACAGTGAACAAACAAGCTGAGTGAGTGAGTGATGAGTGAGATAACCATGTGTTACAGAGTCTGACAGCTGCTGGTAAGAATGGCCTGCGGTAGCGCTCCTTCCTACACTGCCTACATGCCTAATCAGATATTTACAGAGAAATACTCGGTAATGAATCCTTCAGGACGTTGTGTGGGTCTATATACACTGTTTTTGTTGTCACGTACATTTTGCACATACAACACTTCAGATGGTCATCATCCCTCATGCCCTTTTTCCTTTCTGCGCAGTCCCCTGCCCCGTGTCCACGTCTGCCGCAGTTGTAGCAGCTTCCAGCCCTGTCCTTGGTTTGACCAGGCCTGCCTCTACGCCCGGTAGAAATGAAATAGTTGTCTTGGCAAAGTGGTCTGTATTGCGGGATGTGGGATGGTGGCTATATCGACAGCAGACAACTTACTGCTAGGAGTAGAGATTGTTGTGGAAGAAATAGATGCAATGGGGAAATAGGTGTTGTCACGGTCCTGGGTCATGTGACCCAGTGTTTTGAGTTTCCCTGTATTTAGATATTCATTGTTTATGTTTAAGTTCCTTTAGTCATCTTAAGCTCCGTTGTTCAGTTATAGTTCTTTGTTTATAAGATCCCTTTATTTCATCACCACCGTGGTTAAGTCTCCTCTAACCTGTCACGTGTCATGTCTGCGTGTCCTGTGTTGTCAAGCTCATGTCATGCCTGTATTCCATTGTTCCTATTTTACTTTGAAAGTTATGTTTCTATGTTCATCGTGCTTGGTGTTACTTTTCCCTATGGTGTCATGATGTCATTCCAGTCAGCTGGTCTCAGAGTTCTTACTAATCAGGTTCAGGTTCATGTTCCTGTTCAGTTCCATGTCCATGTCTTTTGTTGCAGTTTTCATATTTATTTAGTAGGGGTGCAACAAAACAGATCCACTGAGCACTCAACACAGACAGCATCGTCAGAAGAAAAGTTGATAAAATAAATTTAAAAATTTTGTATTGTTCGATACATATGCGTACCGAACCGAAAGCACTGTATCAAACGGTTCAATACCGATACATGCGCTCGACTACTCCGCCTAGGCTGCACTGTCGAGTGCAGATCCACTGAGCGCAGCACAAGCTAGCAAGACAGAAGCTAAGCTCGTTGCAACATGGCAACTTTCTCAACGCTACCCCAAACTGAACCTCCCCCACCCTCATTCAGATCTGGCGTTTGGAACTATTTTGGTTTTCATGTGACGTATGACCCTGATGGTAAGCGCGTCATGAACAAAAGTAAAACAGTATGTCGGATGTGCCACGCAATGCTCAATTGGTGGGAACTACTGCGTCAGCGCAGTTAGCTTGTTAACGTGTTGACGCCGTCCAGCCTCACGCACTGGGCGATCCGCGGTAGCTCGTTAACGGAGATTTGCCGTGTTATGGCGTTAATGTCATTTTATGAGATTAGTGCTGACAGCACTAGTGGGAACACAATGAATATGACTGCACATTTACTCCGACAGCATCCTAGTGCAAAGACAAGTGGAAGCAGACAAAAACAACAAGCAGGCATGCTACAAACTTTACCCGAGTGATTTAGACAGCCGTTAGCACAGGATTCTCCTTATGGGGACCTGATATGTTTAATATGCTGCTGAGAATATAGCCCAGAAGAAGCGTATAGTAGAGCTTTTATTTTGAAAGAGCCATTTCTCTGTAATAAACTCTCTTTTCCAAAGATGAGGGATTTCTCCATCAGATAGATTTATTTTTTATGACTTTGTTGTTTCAGCAACATTAAATTTAAAAACTGTACTTTTGAGTTAACATATATATTTATAATTTTAATAAATGACAAATTAAAAAGGCATGAACATTTTTTTGTATCGAAAAAATATCAATCCAACCAACCAAAGTATCAAACTGAACCGTGAATTTTGTGTATCGTTGCACCCCTAGTATTTAGTTATCTCCCAGTTTAGGTGTCAAGTTAGGTTTTGCCCAGTTCGCTCTTGGTTTGTTTTTGTGTTCACATTTTGTCAAGCCAAATAAACGGCTCGCCTTTTGTTTAATCTTAGTTCCATCTCCTACCGTGTCTGCATTCGGATCTCAGTATTCACTTAAACGTATGCGCTGTCATGGTCGGCTCCATGACAGGTGTTTGTTCCTCTGTTTTTAAGAGGGTTGCTGATGGCGGTTCTCTGCAACAGTATGGGGCAAGATGTAGACTTAGGCCTGGGGGGGCTTGAGTAATCATCTTGCAGCCTCACATAGATTTTTCTCTCTATTTTAGCTTGCTCATGTTTTTCAGCTTTTTCTAATTACATGTGCTCATCCATATTTATCTAACTTGCTCTCACTTTTGCTGCTTTATCCTTTATTTTCCCCACTGTTTACATTTCCAATCATCTGTCTCCTCAAACCTGAACTGTGTTTGCCTTAAGGGAAGAAGCACAACTTCCCCCCATTTTTTTTGTAATTTTATTTTTGTTTTAGTTTATTTTAGTTTTATTTAATTGTCTACTTTTTGAGTCACCACACTATTTCAGCTTCTGTTTATGTATTTTATTTTATGTATTTATTTAATTTTTATTTGTTTTAGGATAGAGTTAAGAATGTCCTAAAGCCACCAAGAGAAACATGTTTTTAACCTGGTTACATTTCAACTGACTTTTTTTACTGAGTGAATGAACAAAATAATAAAAGAGGAAAAATAGAATAGAATAAAATAGAATGCCTGCTTATTGTGCGTGCTCCACACCAACTGTGCAGCTATAAAATATAAATAGTAAGATAGCAGGAATAAATATCAAACAGGAGATATATATATATATAAATATAAACAAAATAGATATATACAGACAGGAGGAATATAAACAAAACAAGACAAGGGCACACATTAGAAGAACAGGTTAGAAAGTCCTTGGAAGCAGTGCAAAAGGACTTGGTCTGAGTCTGTGTGTGAGTGGCCTCAGTGATGATGGTTACTCAGACCATGGGTCAGATAGGTGAGCAAGGTGGGTGAGGGGGGTAGTATTTGTTAACAGTGTGAATGGAGCAGCAGCTGTTAGTGGGTCTGCAAGTGTGGGACCTGATTGACCTGAGGCTGATCATTTATCAGTCATTTGTTCATTATGTGCTCACAATAAAACAATCTATGTAGAGACAGTGGCACTCGAGTATAGACTATATTTGTTCTTTTTCAACTGAGCCACAGTATGTAGACTCATACCACTTCATATTCATTTTTGTGACTTTTGATTGAGAAACATTTTAAAAAACAAGCAAAAAAAAAAAACCAAACAAAAAAACATTGGTGGTAGACATCTTGTAGTTCCCCATATATTGTTCCCATTTCTTACATAAGCTAGAACAACAGAAATATTGGTTGCATAATTCTAGAAGACAAAGAAGATACGTCACGTACAACTGTAAAAGAAAAAAGTCATTAAAGAGCTCAGAAGGGTTAAATATGAAATGTTTTCATATTGTTTGACCTTGGATGAATTTGTGATTGTATGTAGAACAAAAACATTAATCTAGATATCAAAATAACATTTTTTTTAAGTGAATACAATGAAGAATTAAAGATAAATGTAAAAGAAATGTGAGTAAAAAGCCATGACAAGTAAGCCATTCATATGGCTTGCCTGACACACCCACCTGAGCTACCGAACCAAAAAGCTCCGCCTCAGTCTTTATATCTTGAGGCTAACTTCAGGCTATAAAAAGAAGGATCAAACTGTAACAAGCGCACACTCTTTAAGTTTGCTTGGTGATCTCCTTTACAAGTAAAGTTAGCTTAATGCTTTAATTATTGAGAACACAGCATTGTTTCATTCGAAAGCATTGTTGAGCTTTTCTCTAACTTGCGACCTGTAAATCTCGAGCAGAACCATGGCAGGAGACCGGTCAGATCATCGGGTGCTGCAGTATGAACAAAGTCTTGTAAGTTTTCACTTGTCACCATATGAACTTTGTGCACTTTTCCCACAGTGCATCCACTTATGAGTGAAACGTGAGTAAAGTGTGATCAAAGCTGGACTAGAGATGTAATGAGTGAATTGTGATGCGTAACTTGTGAAAAATAAGTATATGCATGTACTTTTTGTCTGTGTGATTCTGACAACTTTTCTGGGTGATTGTATGTTTGAGAAAATATAAGTTTTAAATGATGCCCCACCTCTGGCTTTCGAGTAAAACGTCTGTGGAGCCATTTTGTCCATTTTTTCAGATTAACTGGTCTTTGATTAACTAGTGAGAGTGAAATGGATCAAAGGCATAACATCCAAAATGGCACAGGAGCCAGAAGAAACAAGAGTCCTTCTACATTAGAGAGTATGCATATATCCATACCTTAAAATGGACATTAATATCTTTAGGGCTAGGTTCTATCTTCTGAACCAAAAGCCCAACTTTGTTTAAGCAGCATATATTTTTCTTATGAAATCAGTTTTAGCCCTGCAAATATTCCTTTATTCATTTTTACTTTAATAGATTATCTAAATAATTTGATTGAAATAGGTAATGTTTCTAAAAAGTTGTCTAGAACTGGGTACGCCATGGAAATACAGTACTTGCCATTCTTGCAAAATACACATGAACCTGTTGACATCAACTATGCAGCAATTTCATTTCCAGCAAGTGTCTCACAGCCTACGTTGTTGGTGCGGTGACATTAAAAATGATTTTTAGCAAACCAAAGCAAAAAAGTGGTTCTCAAAAATGTAAAGAGACAAGAGAGCAGGATGAAGATACCACCAGGTGTACGGATCTGAGCAGTGTTGCAAGGCCCAAAGTTACAAAGTTCTGATTGGCAAGCAGTAGCAAACTTTGTGTTTTTGTAAAGGACTAAAACGTTGCACCGTTCATGTTGAAAATATGCACTCGTATTTTATTACATGCATGCGATATGTCGACAAGTTGGTAAATTGGAAATGACTGTTGAATGAGGAATTCTAGAAATCAGTTTGTTAGCAAGACTCAACCTGTTTTAGGCGTGTGGTAGCCTATTTGAAGAAGACTGTGTGAGTTTAAGAGCATAAGAGTAACTAAAGGTGTCCGTTCACGCAACCTCTGACTGAGGTGCTGATAAAAAGCATGAATGATGACAACTGCTATATCTTATTTATGCTCTTACAGTGTGAATGTAAGTGAGACAGAGAATGAGAGAGAGAATGTAAGATGGTGTGATTGCTCCTGTACAATGTGGCAGAGAGGGGCCCCAAAAAATATCTGCTCGGGCCCCAGAGACAGTTATGTCACAGAGTTTTTACTGTGGACTTGCTTTTCAGGAGCTGAAAAACAGAAGAAAAAAACATTGTGAACATATTTTCTTTAAAGAAATTTCAAGTTATATAGCTGAGACTGCAGCTACAGCACCAATGCCCACTCATAATTTCACCAAAGCTAATTAAATCTTTGCAAAATGTTTTTGATGACACTAACACTGTTCACACACACTGTTATGTAATTTGAAGATTGTCATACAATTTATATTATCTGCACTCAAAGGGACTGGATGCTGGTCCATTAGTGCTGCTGTGTACTCACTGGGCACCAGTGTTGGGTAAGTTACTTTAAAGTAGTAACTTAGTTACATTACTAGTTACTTCTATCAAAAGTAACTCAGTTACTTCAAGTTACTCGTTACTTTCAGAGTAACTAGTTACTAGGGAAAGTAACTTTGGTTTTACTCAGAATTCTCTTGTTAATGTGTTGCTTCCGTAACTGGATACTAGAGCAGGGCGATATGACCAAAAATATTTATCACGATATACATTTGAAAATTTGCGATAACGATATAATTGACACTAGACAAAATACTTTACAACTCCACAACTTTATTAGTGAAAAAAACCCATCAATGTATTTTCACTTAAACAAGCAGCTGTTTTTTATGTGCATAAAAGTTATATAAAAATGTAACAGTGCTAATTCCTTGCTGACAGTTTAACCAAAAGGCATTTCAGTGGAAACTGGCCGACATATCCTCAGCATAACCATGTATAATATCCACAGAACTTAAAAAGAGGTTATACACACACAATACGGTAATATTATGTTGAAGCACAGTACGTATCACTCTGCGAGGCTCCGCCTACAATAGCCGTAATGCTCCGACAATCTATCAAGCGGTGCGGCTTCGTAGCTTAGCAAAGTCGTACTGAAACATCTGACAGATTTTCGAGCGCCGTGCACATAAAATCGTTTCGAGGTCAGTAAACACAACCAGAGTTCATACATAAGGCACACGGGATTATAAGGGGCTCTGTCGACTTTCAGAGAAATCAAAGGATTGATTTTAAGTGCCCCGTATTTTCCAAACAACACAGTAATAACGACGGCCCGCTAGCATGCGCTACCAAAAATAGTGCTTTGTTGTGTATCTGACGGACGAAAGCTAAACCAGTTCCACACCAGTGAAGTTGCAGCATTTTTACAAACCAGTTCTGGTTCATCCGTTTCATTCATCGATCCACTTTCGCTCTTCTCATTCTGCGTCGCCGCCATGTGCGTATGTAAACAAAGGCACTGCGCATGCGCATTTTACCCATATTCTATCGCGATATGTCATTTTCCTATTGTTGCCCAAAATTATACCGGTATTACCGTAAACGGTATGATATAGCCCAGCCCTACTGGATACCCAGCCAGACTGCCAGGCTTCTAGCTTGCCTACTTGCCACAAGTGCACTGTGCCACCTACCAATAGAAAGAAAAAAAATAATGTGCACACTTCCACGAGAGAAATCCCACGCCTGGACCGTCGTTGACCGCTGCCATGATTCTATCCTAGCTTTTTACATCCAACACAAAAACTGCAGTCGTGGTGCTTTCGATGGTACTCAGAACTCGGAAATTCTGCCTTCTGAATAGGAAGATGTAGGTAACACCAGACTGCAGATGAGCTGCATACAGGGCTGGACTGGGACAGAAAATCGTCCCAGGCGTTTTGACTAGAGACCGGCCCACCATTATAGGAAAAATCATAAAGCCTGTGACAGTGATGTACACTGTTCTGATGGTATATATGCATCAATCTATCAATTGTTTGTTCTAAGATTCAGATAATTATTTTTTAAAAGTGAGACATTTTAAATGAGAATAAGAAAGAAAAGTATGTCTTTGTGCCCCCCTCTCCCTGTTAATGCCCTACATGGACCCCTGGCAACACTTTGCTAGACCCGCCCCTGCACAGTTACCAGCTGTCAGCTACTTAGAAAAGGATCCTGGTGTTATTTGTCTCTCAGAAACAGTTCATAACTTCCCTTCAACTCATCCATGTCACCTAAAAGGTAAACCTGTTTCTCCATCACCTGCTCAGCTCTGATGGTTCAGTAAGGACATCTCCTGGTTTCATCTTCATGTTTCCCTCTCACCAGATAACCAAACCGACATCATGACCAGCAGCTTTACAGCTGTGGCTCCAGCCAACATCAGCTGATACTAGAAATTAATATTAAATAAATTCTAACAACAGCTGATCAAGCTTAAACGTGCTGCTGTTGTTTAGCGCGACATCCGCTGGTTTCCTCTTTCTGGAGCAAAGTGGGCGATAAACAAACAAGAGAGACGATCAGCTGATCATTGATCAGTTTCATGACTGAAGTAGAAACAGGAGAGGGAGGGAGGGGAGAGAATGAGAGGAGAAGAGGCAGCTTTGTGTCTTTTTCATTGTAGCTGAAGTCCGGGACAAAATGTTCCTTTTCACCTCAATACGAAACCCGTAATATTTTCTCTGAATACCAGACGATTCTGTTTTTTACGGGACGGTTGGCAACTCTAATAATTAACCTACGAACAAAATAAAGTTCAACATCAGTAACATAGCACCACCCAGCTGTATAGAAACTCCGTCATGCTAGCTAGCACACAGTACGAAAAAGTCAGCATAACGAAAATAAACTCGCCCTAAACTTGATTTATATGTGACTCAGATACACTGCAGGTCATAACTTCTTACCTGGAGTTCAGTTCACCTGACACTCTCGGACCAGTGGCTGCTTCGGGTCTCTCCTCTTGCCTCCCTTTTCCTTCATCCACCTGCTGGCCTCCACCACTTGCTAATGTTATTGAATCTGTGGAAGCTCCGCGATAGCCACCACACGAAGTAACGAGTAACGAGCCTATCTAAATCCCAGTAACGAGTAACGCGTTCCTGGTTTTGGCATAATAACTAGTTACCGTGCTTGTTACCACAATAATAACATAGTCACTGTAACGCGTTACTTAATAACGCGTTAGTCCCAACACTGCTGGGCACAAATCTGGACCTGTTTAGCTAATAATATGCGTTTTATGTTCAGTACATCATGTGCTCTGCTGCTCACTTATAAATAAACAAAACAGATACAATGTTAACATGAATTTATTTTCCTAGATTATTTCTTTCTTCAAAAACCACTTAGGAATCAATGTGCTACTGTTGGAGTATTTATTACTGCTGCAGTATGTTTATAGAAAAATTATAGACTTCAAATGAACAATGTAAATATGTAACCACATAATAGTAAAAAAAAGAAAAGAAAAGAAAAGACTCTTAGCTAGAAGCCAAATCCCTTTCAAATTGTGTCAACTCTGTCTTGTCTTTTAAATGTTGGCCTATTCTTCACCTCTCCTGCTCTTTTATCACTCTGTGACACACTGAAGTCCCCAAGTGCAAGTCGATATCTGTTATAAGCTTCTTCTGCAGATGGGTTTCCAATTACGCAATTCCCAGTTAGTAGTTCACCTTTTCTTTGTAATTAAAAGCACCACTTTATAATGCAGAGATCGCACTGCAGAATTAATATCAGCTCAGAACAAAATCTACAGTTCCCATCTTTCTAGCTCAGTGAATGTGACCCACAGCAAAAACTGCATCGAGCCATTGGTCTGATGCCTTACACAGACATTTCCAGGTATAAGATAGGACATTAAGAAATGGTTTATACTCTAAATCGGTC